ATATAAGTAATGATAATTAGTTGTTATGTAGGTAGTATTTTGTTTTCTTGGTAATTTGAGTAATGTTAATTCCATTAGTAATATCGATTTTGTTTGAAGTAATTTTGATTTGTGTACATGTACAGCGCTTTGAAACTTTTGTCACAAGCGCTATATAAATTTGTCATATTATTATTATTATTATTATTTCACTTTAGAAATAAACTCTAATCCATCCTTTGATATTTAAACTGCACTACTCCTACTGTGTGCTTTTTCACACTCTCCCTGATCTATAAAGACTGCTTTCTTTATTTGATTATCAACAGAAGCGAAAGGCTAGGCCACGAACTTTTCGAAGCGTGACCAGATTCCAAGTATGCTTAAATGGGGGCATTAATGTATGTAGAAAAAAAAACAGGATTAAGATCCCATGCAACGCTTCGAAATTTAAAAGAAGAATAAGAAAAATAAAGTTGAGATTCAACCTTTATGTCTAGACGTTGCATATGGCAATTCGTTTTGGTATTTTATTCCATCTCAGAGTGATTATAGAAGTTATTTTTTAAGGATAATAAAGATAAAGCTGTCCGGGTTTTTAAAGATAATGCGTCAAAACAAATCGAACAAGCTATTTATTTCTTTATTCATGGTCTGTTTCTACTGTTTATCTATTTTCATTGCCAACCCTCGAAAACGAATTTAGTATGCATTTCACAGAGGAAGTTTGCATAGGAGAACTATATATATATATATATATATATACAAATTATTTATTGGGCTTATTTTGCTTTCTAATGGATCCGTACACTATGGCACAGCTTTAGGGGCCTGGAAGAGCCCCTACCAGGGGTACCAGGGCGGAGCCCTAGGATGCTCTCGAGTTTATTTGACTTTCAAGAGAAAGTGTCTCTAAGATATAAAGAGAGGTTATTTCTTCAATGAAGTGAAAGGACTCATGAAAATAAAATAGCCCTTTCATTTCATTTTAGAAATAAACTCTAATCCATCCCTTGATATTTAAATTGCACTGCTCCTACTTCGTGCTTTGTTCAAACTCTCCTTGATCTATAAAGGGTGCTTTCTCTATTTGATCATCAACAGAAGCAAAATGCTAGGCCACGAACTTTTCGAAGCGTGACCAGATTCAAAGCATGCTTAAATTAAGATTAAGGATTAAGATCCCATGTAACGCTTCGAAATGTAAAGAAGAATGAGAAAACTAAAGTTGAGATTCGACCGTTATGTCTAGACGTTGCTTAATGCATTTCGTATTGGTATTATCTCCCGTCTGACAGTGATTAGAGACGTTATTTATATGGATAATAAAGATAAAGCTGTCCGGGTCTTTGAATATAATGCTTCAAAACAAATCGAACAAGCTGTTTATTTCTTTATTCATGGTCTGTTTTTACTGTTTATCTTTTTTCCTTGCCAATCCTCGAAAACGAATGTATTATGCATTTCACAGAGGAAAGTTTGCATATTGATGAAACATATGGGCGCAGGCCAAGATTTAAACCCACTCAAGTGTGAATTTGGCGCATCTTCACTCATCTTCTTCAACTAGGAAATGGACTTCATTGTAGCCTTAGGACAGGATGGTGAAATAAAATTGATAAAAGAACATCATAATCAGATTATCCGACCCCGGAAACCCCATGAATTCATCAACTTTTATCATACTGGTCCTTTTCCTTTTGAAACTACGCTTTACCTTTAACTCGGATGGCGGCCATTTTTTATTTGGCCAATATGGCCAGCATGACAGCCCCAAGGAGACCTGCAATATTGATACAAGCAACATCATAATCAGATTCTCTGACCCAGAAAACCCCCTTACTATATAATTTTTTTTTATCATTTTAGCTCTTTTCCTTTTGGAACTACTATTGATCTGGAACTATCAAATGGCGGCCATTTTGGATTTGACCAATATTACCAGTATGACCCGAGGAGATCTCAAATCGATGAAAGAATATCATAATCAGATTCTCTGACCCCGAAAACCCCATAAATAAACTTTTATCATACTAGCCCATTTTCTTTCGTAACTACACTTGACCTGTAACTATCAGATGGCGGCCATTTTGGATTTGACCAATATGACCAGTATGGCAGCCCCAAGGAGATCTTAAATTGATGAAAGAATATCATAATCAGATTCTCTGACCCCCAAAACCCCATAAATATATAAACTATTATCATACAACCGCTTTTCCGAACTACGCTTGACCTTTAACTCAGATGGCGGCCATTTTGAATTTGCCTAATATGGCATACCCAGAGGGTACCCTTCTTGGCGTCCGGAAGAAATCGTAAAAGTATGGTATAATCTACCTCTGGGGCAAATTTGGTGCTTTTAGAAGAATCTGCACCAAACAACCCCTATTTAGCCCTAACAGCCTCCACTATATTGACTATGTATATGTGTGGACTAGAGTACGGACATTCGGTGCGGCAGGCGGACTATTGGTGCGAGACCCTTCCGCATGGATTGTCCGTCAGACATTTGAGGCGCACACGGAATGTCCGACACGGACATTCTGCGCGGATAAAATCCGCACCGATCGTCCGCTCTCGATCGATCTCTATTAGTCGGACGATCGGTGCGGGTTACATTCTACGCGGTCACACCGGCCATACGTAAATGGCAGTGACGGTAACGACGAATTAGGAGGAAGGGGTGCATACGTGAACTACAAGCGTATTGGGGATGATCATACTATCATTTTAGAGTGTGCAATCTGGGTCAGAATCCAGCATAATATATTTATAAAAAAAGAGGTTCACATAAAAGCACTCATGATAAAGCCGCGCCCGGCCCCTACAACATCATTTTGGATTTTCAGATGATGGGGCGGGTGGCAGGGGTAGGGGGCAAAGTTCGCCCCACTCTTCAAGTACCCCCCCCCTAAAAGGGCCACTTTTACTTTGTAAAGAAGTGCCCCTTCCCCTTTTTAACTCGGATAAGCGCACATTTCATCAACACATGTGCCCCCTTTCCTATCTGAGGGCTATTTAGAAAAATGAGGCCCTTCATAAATAAAAAGTGTCCCTTTTCATCTCTGGTGAATGACCATTTTCATATATATGAAGTTAATTCGTTTCACTTCAGTGCGCTCTTCACCTCCGATAATTGCCCCTATTCGAATCTGAGAGATGCTCATTTTACCTTGAAAAGTACCCCTTCCCCTCCTGATAAGTACTCTTTTCATCTATGATGGGTGCCCATTTTCACCTTTGCTAACTGCCCTTTAATTTTGAATCGTGCCCCTTTTCCTTTCTATATAGGGACCTATCCCCTTTTCATAAATGCCCCTTTTCACCTCTGATAAATCAATTTCTGATGGATGCCTCTTTTCCGTCGACAAATGCCCATTTCCCATACTCATAAGTGCCCTATCTCATTTCTGGTGAGTGCCTCCTTTCAGGTGTAAGAAGTGCCCAGTTTGAACCTTTGATAATTACTCTTTGTACCTTGACACATGCTCCTTTTCTTTTCTAATAAGTGTCTTTATCCCTTTCGATATGTGTCCCCTTAACCTCTCATCATCGGGGGGGGGGGGGGCACGTGCCCCCATAACCTGCTCATCATTAGTCTTGCACCAAATTTAAAGCGACTAAGAGTAATTTCCCCTAAAGCTCGCTCGCTCGCTCGCATTTATAGATGATACAATTATAATTATGTCACTTTAAAACAAATGTTTTTTTAGTCTTCCGTGATGCTTATAACCCCATCATGATTCCCCTCCCCCCCTCTTTATAAGATGTAATTTTTTACTCTACGACCTCACAGATCTTACATTTTTTCTCGCTCGCTTTGCTCGCTCGCAAATGAATATTCAGACAATCACACTTAGCCGAAAGTGTGATGTTTAAGCAATAACTTGTATGATATATAAAGAAAAACAAATATTGAAATCGTCCCTGATAATGGGATCACAATGAAAGGGTATATACCAATGTCTAAAAAAATGTATATTTTCGCTTTGAGATTTCGCTTTGTAGGTGCCCTTTTTTGTTGGTGCTTTCCACTTTGGAAATAGCTCCTCCGCCCCTGCTTACGCATTAGCGCCAGCGTTAATTTCACGCTGGCGCGCACAGGGTGTGTGTGTGTGTGTGTGGGGGGGGGGTTCCTCTCTAGCTCTGAAGCTGATTTTTTTTTATACCTAGATTCGTGCGATTCGGTTAATACTTTTAGAGGGAGTCTGATGGGTGATGTGCCCCCCTCTGAAGCTGACATTTTTTGGATTTTTGAAACTGGATTCGTGCGTTTTGGTTAACAATTTTTTGGGGAGTCTGATTTGATTACAAAACACCTGCAGTTAATGCGTGATGGTGTTGCAGCCTCTCTTTCCCCGAAAATTTAAAAATTACCAATATGCATTTGTTATATCTTATCTCGTATATTTTGGTGACAATTAACACTTTTCACAACATACATAAGCTCAAATTTCCGCTCACTCGCTTCGCTCACTCGCCAAATTATTAAACCAGGAAATAGATATTAGGGCAAGAGGCTTCAGCCCCCACTGATGGAAATGTAAAAAAAAAATTGCGCGCGAGCATAACTTGAAAACGGGGAATGTTGATATCGGACAAGAGATGTGACGTGAGCATGTCCCCTTTCCAAAATAATTGTGCCCGTTTGTAGGTACCAATACACTATTAAAGTACAGTGCTTCTAATATGACCTTGTCAGTATTGGTAAGTTTATATAACGGTCTGCGCGAATTTCGAATTTCCGGCCCCCCCCCCCCCCTATTGGAAAATCCTGGATCCGCGCCTGACTTTTTAGTTTACCATCGTTTTCCAGAATATGTTTTAATTTGTAAATTCCTTGTCATACAACCTCTTATCGTATATACAACTTCCTTTATATCGAATAAGTTTATTATTAAAAATTACCACATCACCAATGTCTATACTCCTTATATGTCTCGTATTCACCCAATCTTCTAATAAATCCATATAAAATTGTGGAGCTGTCACTTTTAATAAACTTGGTATATAGTCACATGAAAACCATCAAGCCACTGAAGGGACGTCAGATGGACAGCTACGAGAAGGATGTGGATGGAGGTGGTACAGGCGTGACAACAAACATGGCCCGCGATGTGAAAGCCACAACCGTTGCCAAGTTACCAATCAGCATGAAGGATGGACGCGCCAAGTACGTGGCCGTGCGAAAATTCAGAGGTCAAGTCTATGTCGACGTTCGAGATTACTACGAGTCAAATGGGCAGTACTTTCCGACTAAAAAAGGTATCCCCTTATCTGCGAGGGAATTCAAAGCAGTCCTGATGATTTCTAAGAACATCAACCGTGCAATCTACAGTGGAGAAAACCAGTAGTCGCATCGAGACAACAAAAAACCTTGGATATGTAACGGAATGAATATGATTTGAAAAAATGATAATAAAGTTGTCACCATTTTACAGTAAAGTCCAACGTGTTTATTCTACTTTGTTGCGTTTGTTGTCTTGACGTCAAGGGTAGTGAACCTGTAAGAGACAAAAAGCGAGAGAGAGCGAAAGAGAGATTGACGCTTGATTGTTTGTGACGTGTGTAAGATTAAAAGTGTGTAGATTATAATCTATTTATCAGTTCTAATTAAATCTAACATAATTTTGTTACTAGGCCTAACGAAATTTTGTTTTTCTTTCTTTTTTTAAAACTTTGTAAATAGTGTAAATAGTTCACTACAAAACTTTAGGAATTTTATTTGTCATATATTATATATTTGAAAGGTGTTGTAACGATTCAAGCTCTATTTGCTTATGTTTCATCACCTTTGTGTGTTCATTCTTCAAACTGTATATAAGTTGCAACTTGTCTTTGATAAAACAATGTTATATTCTTTTTCACGTGAAGTTAATTCAAATGTATTGTAAAATTGAAAATGATTTGTCATCTTATATTAATTTTCATGTGATATTAACTTCAATGAATTGTGAAATTGTGAACATGCATAAATAAAATAAATAAATAAATAAATAAACCATTGAGGGAATAGATGAAGAAAGAGATAGAGAGAGAGAGAGAATGCCTGAGATTAAAACTTTGCTAAGAGGGGAGTTACGACAGTACTTCCAGAAGAGGAGGATTATAAGACAAAGACTTTTGTTCAGGTATTAACGGATAAGGTTGAAAAAAAAAAAAGTGAAATGCAATTAAGACGACCCATGACAGGTGTCAGGTTCACGCGCAACTTCTAGGGGTCGTATCCTCTTAACGTCCAAGAACAGTTATCCTTAATGAGCACGTTTGAAGTTGAGCCGTTATTCCTTAATACAGGACGAGGGGGCTTGTAGAGACTAGTTCTATTGTTTTCAAAAGACTTTTGTTCGGGTATTAACGGATAAGATTGAAAAAAGTGAAATGCAATTACGGCGACCCGTTGTTTTCAAAGACTTTTGTTCTGGTATTAACGGATAAGATTGAAAAAAGTGAAATGCGCAACTTCTAGGGGTCGTATCCTCTTAAAGGTACTATGTCCCTTTTGCAGCCAAAATTTTGACAACTAATAGTCATTATTTTCCCACTTGAAGACATTTTCAAGCCCCACCTTTTTTAGGGAAGTTCTAAATAAGTATTATCTTTCAAATGCAGTTGGAATTTAACTTTTTCATTTTTTTGGCCTGCAAATGGGACATAGTACCTTTAACGCCCAAGTGCAATTATCCTTAATGAGTACATTTGAAGTTGAGCCGTTATTCCTTAATACAGGGCGAGGGGGGCTTGTACAATTATCCTTACCAGAAACAGATGTTAGCGTCACACGATTTGAAGTCGATCGTGAAATCCATTGTGAGAGGGTCTATATTATTGTTCAAAAATAAACAAGACCGCGCGCCAACCAAACAGTTTATGAGAATGGCTCGCGACCTTCACGCTCGAGCGTGAATGTTGAAGAGGGTATTGTTGACTCACGCCAGTACGCTGCTTTTCAAGCTGTGATAGCTCAGGGAGGTGGAAAACCACCTCCCTGCATGGATAGCTCCAGAGTTCAGGCTTATGGTATACAGAGGTAGACGTAAGGAGGCATTAGGGACTTTTAGATTTGCACGTTGTCAGCTTTGACTGCAACGTGTGACGTCATTTTAAGGCACAGCGCATGCGTTACGACGTCTCAGTCGGCGATCGAGAATGCGTCAACCTTGATTTTCCTAAATCTAGTACATACATATTGATATTTATATAGCGCCTTTACGTGCTCAAGGTACTAGTATGCCGCGTGCGCATAAAATATAGTTCCTCAGGTATAGACAAAGCCGAAACATCCCTTCCCTGCTATTATGTAAAAATGTGTAGAACAGAACTGGTGTCACATGCATATTCACCTGTTCTACACATTTTTACATAATAGCAGTGAAGGGATGTTCTTTTGTTGAGGGTAGAATGAGGAACTGTATATTTTGTCCTCTTTCTTTGTCCGTGATGTTCATAATGTTACTTCCTGCATGCATGTATATCGTCGAGTGCAATCTAAAAGATTTCTAATTGTAGTCAACATGGGCAGTTAAGTACGTTGACACGCATGATCAGTCGGCGTTCGTCGTGTTCTCGTCCACTCATTCTAAAAGTCCCTATTGATATATGCAGGACCTCCGGAAGGTAAAGCCATCTACCTGTACCTGTCTGGGTCCCATTATAAAGTCATAACCAATCCCTCTGCTTTTCTGTGTGCTTCTCAGTTGTGTGAGGACTGTCACGAAACGTACAACCAAGAAGGTACAACGATCCCCGCACGCATAAGTGTTGTTGTGAATGCCCAGATTGTTATGCAACAGATTGTGATAGCGGTACGTTTCGTGAGTAAGCCCTCTACCATAGTGTGTAAAAAGTGTCGAATGACATTTCTTACCAAGAAGTTACTAGCCATGGAGTACTAGCTAGCGCGAGCCGTCAATGGCACTGTTGCATAGTATATCACTTAATTTGCAATTAGAGTAGGTTCTGAGTACAACGCATCGCCTTCTTTCTCTAATGATTTAATGAAACTTCAAAGCTTCTGTGCTTTGCGCGGGTGGGAGGGGGGGGGGCAGTGGCGGGCCCAGGGGGGGGGGGGGCCGCCCCCCCCCCCTGGGGAACGAAGCCAAGCCACTGAACGAAATAAACTGACGACGTCATTTTTCCAATTTCCGGGGCAAAAAAAAAAAAAATGTGGAGAGAAAGGAAAGAGAAAAGAAAGGGAGAGAAGAAAAGTAGGGGAAGTTGCAATTTTTCCGCCAACAAAATGTAGATCGGGGGGGGGGGGGCGGGGCACTGGCGTCTTGATCGGGGAGGGGTTTATTTCTGATTCCATAACCGTTACGGTGGTTTACACATAATGCTGAAATGACATAATTTTCCGAGATTTTTCCTCATTTTTTAGTAAATTATATTTTGTATGCGTTTGTTGTAAAATGACAAATTCCTAAATTTACAGCCAGGCAAGAAATATGCTTCTTGAGGTGCCTACATGTCAGGGCCCGCGGAACGGCGGGGATCGGGAGCTTCCAGAGCACAATTTTTTTTTTTTAAATTTGCACCCCCCCCCCCCTTGAGCGCCAGGGGGGGGGGGGGGGGCCCAACCCCCCAAAAAGGTAAAAATCTCGTGATTTTACATGATTTTTTCTCAAGGGGGGGGGGGGCCCCCCCCTGGATCCGCCACTGTCGTGCTTAACATTTAGCTTGTTGCTTTTTAACGCTGCGTCTTTACATTTGGCGCATTGCATTTCTATGATGCTGTTGATTGAACAAATTGAATAAATTCATCAAAGATGAAGCTGTATGAGCGAGAATTCAAATGTCTCACATAATGGTTGTCTCATTTACTTCGTATATTATGTATGTATTATGAAAATGAGATAGCAAAATGTGTATATTGATGGTCATCTTGCGAGTAATAACCATTAACTACTCTCATCGGGCTCTCATCATTAATTTTTCTCTTGATTTTTTTTTTGATGGTGAATTATTGGGGGGGGGGGATGATTGTACAGGCCATCCCCCCCACCTGAAATATTGGGGGGGGGATATATCCCCCCATCCCCCGGGATCGACACCCATGCATCTGACCGTAATCAAATGCCTAAAACCCCTGAGCTTCCGGGGGATCTGCCCCCTGGACCCCGCGTAGGGCCCTAAGGCGGACCCCTGGATTATAATATGACGATAATTTAATGCCTAAACCCCTGAGCTTCTGGGGGCTCCGCCCGCTGGTCTTCACCAGGGCCCATAAGACGGGCCCCTGAATGCTTGTCTGACCGTAATTTATTGCCTTAATCCCCTGAGTTTCCGGGAGCGGACAAGGTATCAAAATATGTCCATCTGACCGCAGACGCCTTGCCATGGGGCGGTGGGGGCGCCCCCCAAAATAAAAAACACCGGCCAAAAAAAAAGAGGAGAGAAAAAGAAGAGCACGTAGGAAGAAAAAGGAGCGGACAATTTTTTTTTGAAATTCAGACAAGAATAAAGAGTCGAGATCGGTACAACGAATCGTCTTCTTTCTTTAATAATTTTAAGGAAACGTCAAAGCTTCCGCGCCTCACGCAGAAGGGGGGGGGTGGGTGGGACTGAATTCATACAAGAATTAAGAGTCGAAAATGGTAATACGAATCGTCTTCTTTCTCTAATAATTTAATAAAACGTCAAAGCTTCCGCGCCTCACGGAGGAGGGGGTGGGTGGGACTGAATTCATACCAGAATTAAGAGTCGAGAATGGTAATACGAATCATCTTCTTTCTCTAATAATTTAATAAATCGTCAAAGCTTCCGCGCCTCACGCAGGAGGGAGTGGTGGGTGGGACTGAATTCATACAAGAATTAAGAGTCGAGAATGGTAATACGAATCGTCTTCTTTCTCTAATAATTTAATAAAACGTCAAAGCTTCCGCGCCTCACGCAGGAGGGAGTGGTGGGTGGGACTGAATTCATACAAGAATTAAGAGTCGAGAATGGTAATACGAATCGTCTTCTTTCTCTAATAATTTAATAAAACGTCAAAGCTTCCGCGCCTCACGCAGGAAGGGGGTGGTGGGTGGGACTGAATTCATACAAGAATTAAGAGTCGAGAATGGTAATACGAATCGTCTTCTTTCTCTAATAATTTAATAACACGTCAAAGCTTCCGCGCCTCACGCAGGAGGGGGGGGGGGGGGGTGGGTGGGACTGAATTCATACAAGAATTAAGAGTCGAGAATGGTAATACGAATCGTCTTCTTTCTCTAATAATTTAATAAAACGTCAAAGCTTCCGCGCCTCACGCAGGAGGGGGGGGGGGGTGGGTGGGACTGAATTCATACAAGAATTAAGAGTCGAGAATGGTAATACGAATCGTCTTCTTTCTTTAATAATTTTAAGGAAATGT